TAATAATCTTAATAGAAACATTTATTGTAATATTTTTGGTTGTTGACAGTTTTGTTTTCTATTCTATGTATTTTTATGCAAGAGCAGCCACCTTATTTTAAAAAAATATCATAGATACTTGACAATTATTTACTTGACAATTATTTCAAAATAATCATTAAGTATTTATAAACTTGATGATTATTACCAAATAAATGTCAAGTATGTGTGAATTATACTTGATGGTTACTTGAAAATAATTGTCAAGTATTCATGACAAAAACTAAGTTTTTCATGCCTAATTTTTACAACTAATAGTTGATGGTTGTTATTAAATAATTGTCAAGTATTTTGGTAATAACTTTTAAGTATTAAAAAGCAAATATATAAATATATATTTAATGGTAATTTTAAATAATTATCAAGTAAGGTTTCTAATACTTGACGGTTAAAAATTATCAAGTAAAGGCTGCAAATTGTCAAGTAAGTGTGATGGTTAAAAATTATCAAGTATTGAAAAAAAATATGTTAAGTACTGGTGTGTTTTGTGGTAGTGAAGTTGATCTTGAGTATGGTATAAATAACATTTATTTAGTTGTCACTTGATAATTGTTATCTTGTCATGTTCAATTATTAATAAACATTGTGGTATCAGATTGTGCCGTTCCCCTTCTCATCAAAGCACAAGCACAAATGGCTTTCCTTTTTGACTTTGATGTGAAAATTTCGTCGTCTGTTTGCTGGCAGAGAACTTGCTTTCTTTTGGGACCAAACCGATGGGTGTTTGGTGGCCATGTTAACGTACGGCTCCAATAGCCCGCACAGAATTTATGTTCACATGCCTGAATTTTGGATTCTACATGTACGAGTGAGGTCAACTTTTGCACATGAACTAGTAGTCCTAGTGTGTTCCACGTAATTTGAAAATTATGGACCATTTATTGTTAATTCAGTTGCTTTATATCAACTTGACCTGCATGCAGGGTATATCCAACGCCACATGATTAAGTTAGCAAGTGCTCCAGGTGTATACAGATGAAACCGAAGCGGCATCACCTGAACACCAATCAATATATTCTAATCAATTAATTGAAAGGATCACTTTCTTCATCCACTGTATATTTATGAACTATTTCGTTTGTTAGTGTTTCAAAATTCAAAAAGTTATGCATACTTCGTTTTCATCATCATAATCATTGTTTTCTTATAATCCATTATACTAATAAAAAACAGAAACAGGAAGAGTCGACTGCACTCATAGCCATGGGATCAGCATCAGACAGGGACTGTCAAGGAAGTGCATCTTACAGGAGCCTGTGACCACAAAACATGCACTTCACTTCACTTCGATTCCTTTCCGATATAATGACTTGGACTTTAGAGCCCTTCCAGAACCCCTATCAGGTGTATGTTTCTGAATTACTGTGTATAATAAAGTGGGTCTCCTCGGTATCGCATTTTAAGTTTGAAAATGAGTTGTATTTTTTTTTCTTTGTATATTTGTAAACAGTTTAACTTGTAAGTCTTGTACTTTATATATGGACTATCAATACAGATATCTATAAAACATGACAGACTATAGATATTGTTATGATTAATGCAACAACGTGAAACAGACGGAAAGGAACCCAAATAAGTAGAGATGCAGGTAATTAAATGTCCCTTTTAGAGCGTCAGTGAGTTAGGTTGTGCCTGGAACCGAAGCAATTAATCTTGCCCTACCATCGTTGTAACTCGGACACACCGCACCATATATCCATAAGAAGTGGTAATTAGTTAATCGACAAAAGGATGCATTCAGATTTTTTTTAGCACTTAAAAGATAAAAGCCAGGTTTCTAGAAATCTGTGTGTGCGCGTGTGTCTGTGTGCTTGTTTCAGGTAAACCCTTTTTTAAAAAAAAAAAATAGGAGAAACAAAAACAAGCAAACAGGTTGAGAGTAAAGTCTAATCAAAATAATCAGTGTAATTAAGCACTGAGGATTGAGGAGGGTGAGGTGGGTCCCCCTGTCGTGAATGTAATTACAAAAGATGGGTTGCTCGAATAATAATAAATATTCATTGGAGATTTATAGCCATATCAAATTGACCACTCTCTTTTCGTCACATCATGCGAGTTAGGTAGGCAATTTAATCATGCCTGTTCTTGCTTTCCGGTGCTCATGCTGCCCCGTTGTATACAGAATATCTTTCACAAGATCCTCCTTGCATTGATTTTGTCCCTTGATAGTGTTTCTTCTCACTGCACAGAAATGATAAAGATGTGATGAATCTGGATTTGTATATATCTTGATTTCTTATTTATATGAGACGTGTGACTTTAGCGGGTTGGCTTCTTATGAGATGCGAACGGAAGTTGGAAAATGCTCTTCATAACTCATTGCTTTCAGGTTTCGTATTGTGGGTTTATATCACAGTCCACTACCTCCAGTGATTGATGCTGACTCATGCTGCTTGTAATTATTATCATCATCTTCGTCCAATTAGCTCTCTCAATTTCCTTTCACGTCCATTTCATGGTTTTCTGCCCGGCACCTTCCTCTCCCATTTCAACCTTTTTTCACCGCACAACAAGCGAATTCCACTTTTCACTCAAACCGTTTACAATTTTGCATCTTTCTTTCTTTTCTTGGCACTAGCTCTTTTTTTAATCCACGGCCTCAAAGTATCGCCTGTTAGCCTGTTAGCCTGTTAGATACATAGCAAACACTAATATCTTTTAAGTTAAGTTTGTTCCATATATAGACAATCTGATTCCTATCACCCATGTCAAAGTATTTCTCTCTGTTTTTTTTTAAAGAATATTCATGGTTCAAAACAAGGAGGGACTTGTGATGAAAAAAAAAAACAAGCAGGTATTAGTGCTAATGTGAAAAAAAGAAAGAAAAAAGCATACCCCCTCCATTTCTACATATAAAATAAAAAAAATTTGTATCACACAATTTAAAAAATTAGTTAATCATATAGTTATGTTTAAGATAAAAAAATTAAACTAAAATATTTTTATATTAATTAATATAAATATATATTAATTATTTTTTATTAATGTAGATGAGGATGATTTAAAAAATGTATAATAAATGTTATTAAAGTATGTGATTTTTTTTGTGTAGAGAAAGTAAAAAAAAAAATGATAATTTTTCTTACAGCGGAAGGGACTGCATGGACGGAGTATAATGTTTTAAAAATCAAAAGGGCCTGCAAAGCGGAAGGGCCAGCGATTCATGATTATCGTGGTCTACTCAATTAATGAACTGACAGTCAAACCAGTAAACAATAATTAAATAAAAATAATGGCACATGTACGCACAGCAATATAAATATGAAAAATAAATGAGATTGTTAAAAAATGTGCAGAGAAAAATTGCTATGTGAATTATTAAAAAAAAAATACTAATTGAGAATCAACATTTCATCTTTTGGTTCAAGTCTAGCCTACACAACGCTATCATTTAATTATGGAATGTGGAACCATTGCTTTATATATATATATATATGTATATATATAAACATCAGACCAGTCCGGTCTAGCGACGATTCCTGGTTGTTTACTGGGTCAGGTTTTTTTAAAAACACTGCACAGGTGTCATTATCGCATACGCATGTTTTGGATACGAACTATGAAGGTTGAGTTCCCAATACGACCTTAAACGCAATACGTATAAACACAAGGCGCACACATGCCTGATCGGGGGACAAGGATATTATTTGGTGTGGAGTGGTGCTGTCCCCATCATATGTTGGCTTGTTTTTGTTTGCACAAGTGGGTCTCCTCTTCCTCAGCTCCAGCCTCTCTTTCTTCTATCCTCATGTTTCCAATATCATCTCCCTTTTCATCTCCCCGGGTCCAATCATGCGCAAAAATCTATACCTTCATACTCGTCCTTTTTTTTTTTTTAAATCCTCTTTTTAGTTACGTCAAAGGGATTTAAATTCTAGACCTTGCCAACATGGGTATTGATATCTATTTGCCATGGGCCTAGGCCCATTCGTTATAATAAACGCGCCTCACTTCTCAACGATCCGAGCTTCAATGTAGTGTTTGAAATGTGCCCTACACGAAACTTAAGACTGATACCCAATTTTTCATTTTGGCCCGTTAAAAGGAATATCAACTTTTTTTGATATTAAAGTATACTTCGCATTGCCAAGTTTTGAGGTGAATTTTGATTTCGTTTTACGTCATTTTAAAAAAAATACTTTGAATTTATTTTACTACTTAAATAATTACACTTTTTCTATTAACTTGTGTGGTTATCAATCTATCATCAATATCTTTATTTACATCACAAATTTTAACAATATCACATCCTCTTTAAATAATAATATTCAAATTGATAGTTCAAACACATTTAAAGAACCAAATTAATAAAAAATTGTTAAATTTAAGAGTAATTGATAACACAAAATTCAGTGATTAAAAGTTTAATTGTCTTCAAATAAATGTTATTCATTTAATTAATCCTTAAAATTTCAAAAGAGTTCAGTCTAAAATAAATGATTTTTTTTATATATTTAAATTATTCAACCAAACATCAAATTCAATTCATAAAAACACCAATTTTTTATATAAATTTTAAAAATTAGACGCAAAAATTTTACAGTTCAATAAATAGATTGATAGACAGCACTGAAATAAGTCGAAAATAAGCTTGTACTTGTATCGGGTAGATAGTTTACTCAATATTTTATTAAAAAAAATAATGTCCAAAATTCAAATTTTGGAGGTTGAATAAAAAAGAAAAAGAAAAGCATAAATAGGTCCTCATGGTTATCGTCATCGTTAATTTGCATAAAACTTTCTAGAATCAGCGGGTTGATGCGGGCACGAAACTGAGTTTTTCCCGGGCCCTACTAGGTTAACGTCTTGATCGAGCAAAACTATTGTAGCCCTAGCTCCTCCTCCTGAGGCGCCGAGATCTGGCCTAAACCCTATTCATCAGCGAAGAAGATTCAGACCAAGGGGAGTGTCAAGGAGGTTAGGGCTTGAACCGAAGAAAGGGAGTAAAGCTGTTGGGCTGAATGGGGAAGAAGAAGAAGAGGGTTCTTCAAAGGTGTGGTGTTACTATTGTGATCGGGAGTTCGATGACGAAAAGATTTTGGTTCAGCATCAGAAGGCTAAGCACTTCAAATGCCATGTCTGCCACAAGAAACTCTCCACTGCCGGCGGCATGGCCATTCACGTGCTTCAGGTTCACAAAGAAAGCGTCACCAAGTAAGCTCTAATGTCTTGCTCACCCTTTATTCGTCGTCCCCTTCTGTCTGATTTGGCTCCTCGATTAGCAGTTTTCCTATCTGATCAATCAAGTGTAATGTTTTGGATCTACCAAGTTAATGAATTTTCACTCAGCTGCTTGACAAATAGTAAAATATCCTTAGGATCTAATAATTTGATGCGAGGACTGAGTAAACAGGTATCTTGTCTTGGTGAAGTTACAAGGGAGGAGAATGTTTGGCAATAATGGAAAATATTGAAATCCGTGTGGGGGCTAGAGAACTATGCACTATGAATGTTAACTCCTGCTTAAACAAATAAAATGCACAGTTTGGGTTTCATGCCCCGTTGGCAGAGAATGATTATCTTTTAATTCAACTAACAATTCTATGCATCTTCCTTCTCTGATCTTTCCTTGTGAAAGGGATTTAAACCAAAAAAAAAAATCTGTATGAGTTATATTTACTGTATGTTTTATGGTATTGCCAAATGCCGAGAACTTTATCCTGCTCCTGCATTTGTGATGTTTCCAAGAGATGCTTCGGTTCTGCCACTTGATGTTGTGCTTTCCCGTTCATTTACTTTTCAGGGTGCCCAATGCAAAACCTGGTAGAGAGTCTACAGATATTGAAATATATGGGATGCAAGGGATTCCGCCAGATATCTTGGCCGCCCACTACGGAGATGATGGTAATCATTCATCTTTCACTCTTTCTCAAATTCTGAGTCGCTGAAGTTTAATCTCCTGTTAGTGGGAAAATAACCCTGCTACTTGACAGATGGATTTAGCAAAAAATTAGTTGATATTGTTGTTTCATATAGTTTGTGTTTGATTGAGTGTTGTTTTTTTATTGGGGAAGATGCAACGGAGTGATGAAGAGATAATAATTTTGTTCCCAAAGAAAAAGAGATAATAAAGTCAAGACTTCTAATAATGCATGACTTAGAAGATCAGAGTGGATGCAGATGACATGGAACAGTGGAAATCAGTTAATGAACTGCTTTGTATGGGTTTAATTTTGTCTTGCTCACCCTTTATCCGTCATAAAGATTGTCTTAAGGTTTTCCAAAGCGTGGTTATTTGTTATCTTGGGCTTTGCATTTGTGCATTTTTTTTGGGGGAGAAACTGAGAAAGCCAATTAGCAGAGTGAGAATGTCAATAAGAAAATAGATGGTGTATACTGCAATGAAGATTGGCAAGAACATACATGGCAATTCTCCGTGCCTGTCAAATTGATTTTAGTTTGTTTTAATATGGCCTCAAACAAGTTGCTGCCATCTTATGGCATGTGTTTTGGTTGTTATTTTATTTTGTGTGAAAGCCAATTAGCAGAGAGAAAAAGCATCAGTGAAAAAGTATGGCGTATTTTGCATTGAAGGTTGGTGAAAACAATGTATGGAGACTAGGGTTAATTTCTGTTGAATTTTCTCCCTTTTGCTGTCAAATTGATTGTGTTGTTTTGATTGTGGCCTCGAACAAGTCTCTGCATGTAATTGATGAGTTTAACAATGTTCTCTCAAAACAAATTTGGAACCTTGTTTTTCAAATACATGATTTAGAATGTTATATTAGGGTTGATTGAATAATAGATTTGTCCCTTTTTGTGTTATTTTGGGTGAAAGCCTATTAGTAGAGGCAGGGCGTCAGTGAAAAGATGTGGTGTATTTTGCATTGAACGTTTGCAAAAACAAAAAAAGTGGAGATTTCCCTGTCCTGTCAAATTGATTTTATGGTCTTTTGATTATGGTGTTAGACAAGTCTCTGCGTCTAATTGTTGGTTTAAAACTGTTTTCACAAAAAAGTCTGTAACCTTGTGTTTCAGATACCTGATTGTTGATGTTGACCTGGGGTTTAAATCATAAACTTGTCCTCTTTGCTGTGTTTCTTATTTTGTTGATAGCCACTTATCAAAGCAACAGATTCGATATTAAAAATGGTGGTATATATTTGAAGTCTGGCAGGAAAAATAAATAGGCGGTTCTTTTTGCCTTTCAGATTTATTTTATGTTGTTTGGATTATGGCCTCAAACAAGTCACTTTATCTAATTGTCTCATTCAAAACTGTTCATGTACATAAAAGAAGTTAGAATGTTTGTATTTGCTGGTCTATAGTTAATGCTCCTTTGGTATTTGTTGGCCTATAGGTAAAACATTAATTAATTACAACAAACGTCAATTATTTTACATTCTTGGGTTAAGGTGCATTTTCCCCCTAAACTATTCTCCGAGAAGTACTCAATGTCGTAAATTATTTGTTGTAGCTTTCACCTCTAAAGTAATTAAAACACAGCATGTTTGCCCCTGACATTAAATATGCCCACGTTAATTGTTAAAAATGCTAATGGGATTTAAGTTTGACCGCACATGCCACCTATGTGCCTGGTAGTTTGAGTTAAGGTACATTTTTGTTCCTAAACTATCTTTCAAGGAGTATTTAATGTCCTAAATTATTTGTGTCATAGCATTTTGTCTGCTAAATTAATTATAGCATAGCATATTTCCAAACATCTATAAATAACTCAAGCAAACTTCCTTTTTCTTTCCCTCTTCTTTAAGTTTAATTAAATAAAAATAAGTTTGACCTGTTCAAACTACTGCTTTAAATTGGGAGGGGCATAACATTTTTAATTGTAAGAAAAAATTGTAAGCTAACAGTGGGGGGAATGGGTGAGCAGGGCTAATTAACAGTAGAATGCATAAGTAGGCAATAATTAAAGACAATGGGAATGGCTAGTTAAGAGAAAGAGGTCCTGCCCAATAATGCACTATCGCATCATTTCTCTCTATCTCTTTGCAGTTTATCATTAAAGCATGCATGGCTTCTTTTGCTTTCTAAACATTTGTAATTAAAACATAGTATTTTAATAAAAATAAAGAAGGCCAGAAGAGGAATTTGTTTGACTTATTTAAGGATGTTCAAAATATGCTACATTTTAATTACTTTAGGGATGAAATTACTGCTATACAAATAGTTTAGGACACTGGGTGCTCCTCAGATGATATTTAGAAGCAAAAATGTACCTTAACTTGAATCCATCTGGCATGATAGGTGGCAATTTTTGTCAAAATTAAGTCCTAGTCGGCATTTTAATGGTCATGTTGGGATATTTAACGTCAGGGAAAAATATGCTATGTTTTAATTATTTTAGAGGGAAAATTACTATGACAAATAGTTTAAGATACTAAGTGCTCCTCGAAATAGTTTAAGAGCAAAAATGCACCTTAACCTTGCATTCTTTTATATGATTTCACATCCAAAATTCCTTATGCCTATTTTACTACCTTTGTTGGATTTGGTTTTATCTGATGGCTAATTTGCTTTAGAAGCATTTATGAATGATATATGCGACATTTGTAGCAAGGTTGAAATTCTTGCATGAGGCAAAACATTTAAATTTCTTTTTCTGACAAATTTCTATTGAACGCAGAGGATGAAGCTCCATCAAAAGCAGCCAAAGTGGATATCCCATCAACTCAGCTTGTAGGTGGTGTTGTCCCAGCACCATTAGGCATGGGATATCCTCAGTCAACCTTGGGTACTATGCCACCTATGTATGTTTCCTTAAATTATTGCTTTTCTTACTTCCCCTGGTTTCATTAATGTTGTATTGGCATGTGATGAAAGATAGTCTATTCATTTATCTTCAAGTGGCATGAATTTCGTTAACCTGCTGTTTTGTCTCCTCTTGGTAATCAGTTATAATCCAGCGGTACCTGTGCCTCCTGCCACTTGGTCAGTTCCACCTCGACCTCAGCCTTGGTATCCGCAACCTCCATCTGTTTCCATTCCCCTCCTGCCCCATATGTACAGCAGCCATTATTTCCTGTCCAGAATGTGAGGCCACCTCTACCATCAACTGCTTCTCCTGCCCTTCCAACTTCTCAAGTTGCTCCTCCTGGATTGCCTCCAACATCTGCTCCAGTTTCACAACCATTGTTTCCTGTTGTTGGAAATAACCATACGATGGCCCAAAGTTCAACATTTTCTGCACCATCACTTTCTACCACTGTTCCATCTTCATTGCCTTCAAGTACCTCTGCTGATGCTTATTCCAGTGCTAACACAACTTCGACAAATAATTATCAAACACTAGGGGTTCCAGGTACTCTTATGTTCATGTTTTTTTTTTATTACTTAAACCATTCATAAACATTTTATGTTTTCAGGTTGCATGCCATCACCTTTTTTCTTTTTTAAAGAAAATAGTTTTCTAGTGTCAATATTCTAAACTTCCATTTTCCTCACTTAATGAAATAAGGCTTGTTGTTATTGTATTCCAAATTTTCATTTACAATTACATGCTCCCTTATCAGTGGGTCATAATCCTAGGACCAGATGTGATATTTTGTTATTGTATTCCAAATTTTCATTTACAATTACATTCTCCCATATCAGTGGGTAATAATCCTAGGACCAGATGCGATATTTTATTTTCTATGCTGACGCTTATCACACTAACAGTTAGTTGGTCTTTTCATTGAGTTTCAATTGCCTTATATTTTCTATGCAATTTAAGTGGAAAGTAATTGCTTGTACTGTATTTTGATAGGCTTGCACTGCAAGTGTGGTATGTATCTCTCGTTCTCTGATGCCTGGGCTGAATTAGCTTCTCTTGCTTATGATTTTTGTTGGTTATAACTTGTGAATGATGAGACACGCAAGGCATCTAAATTTGCTCACAAGTGACCACTTGTTTCTTCCTATGACACAATAAATACTGCTAATAGCTAGTTGTGTGTAGTGTTACTCCTTTTACTGGTTTGAATTTAATTCTGTCTGGTTCTATAACATAGTAGGAATTTCACGTCCATTGTGAAATGTTAGGTGCTAAAAGTTTGCCTCAAAATGTCACTATTGTTTTTGTCATTGAGCTGATCTTATATGCTTTATTCATTTTCCTCACTTTGTTTACTGGAAGAAGAACATTATAATATTGTAGGGCTGGTTTTATACATTTTAGTGATTTTAATTTGACTTGTTTGATTACTATAGGAGGGACATCAAGCAACTCGCATTCTTATGCTTCTGGTCCAAATACTGGTGGACCTTCAATTGGACCACCCCCAGTAATTGCAAACAAAGCTCCTGCGACTCAACCAGCCACTAATGAGGTCTACTTAGTTTGGGATGATGAGGCAATGTCCATGGTGCGTTATCTGCTAGTGGAATGTATTTATTTAGTGTTAGAATACTGTTAAATTTGTTATCAAGTGATGTTATGTTACTTTGGTACCTGCAGGAGGAAAGAAGAATGTCCTTGCTAAAATACCAGGTGCATGATGAAACTAGCCAGGTAAGTCATACTACCTCTGTAATAGAAGGAGTTGCTTTCACATCTAACCAGATGGGTAGGCTTTATGCTTCTTGCTTTCAGATTCAGTTGTTTACGCATTGTTTGCTATTGATAGAGGTACATTCTGTATAATATTTAATCCTCTTTCTAAAAAGGAAGTTGAGTGGCATTCTAATTTTTCCCCTCTTTTGTCTTACTCAATAAGAATGAGTAGTGCATTCTGCTTTATTTTAAACTGCCACTTTGGCCGCAAGCTATGCCTCCCAAATTTGTGAGCATCAAAAGATTCAAGTATGTACTTGTTGCTAATTTCTCTTTGGTAGTTAATTACTGCGGTGTAATATGTGAAGTATGCTGTAGACAACCAACTACATCGCCCTGCTTTTGTAGTAGAAGTGTACGTATATATGAATTTTTAGGCTTGGTTTTGATACTGTTATTCCTTCTCCCCCTGCTTGATTTCCAAGAATTGGGTTTTGGGATGAATAAGATCTTACACACCTGATTTTTCCTCATCCGTAGCATCATTACAATTTATTTTATGGAACAAGTGAATTCAGACTTGGCCAGGTCAGCTTCTTTCGCAGAGTTTGGAATCTCTTGCATAGGCCCAGGCTGTTAAATATTTGGTTTTTGTTGTATTGAGTAGCAGTCTCTGTGCAACGTGCTGATCATTCCTGGTTATTTTTCAGATGAGCTCCATTGATGCAGCTATAGACAAGAGGATACTTGAAAGCAGGCTAGCTGGTCGAATGGCTTTTTAGAACAATCTGAGCCATGTGTTGTCAAATTTGTTCACTGCTGATGGTGTTAGAACATTAGAGTTTATTTTCCGAGATTCTGGTGCAGTTTCATCATTCTTTGCTTGGAGTTTCCATTTACCAACCTAGCGGTGCTATTCTTGGCAAAAAAAAAAAAAAGAAAAAAAGAATTTGGAGACTCTTTTGTACCTGGTGGGGCGGGGTTAGTTAAGGTAAAATGGTATCTCATAGAAAGTTGCAGGACGCCGGTGGTCTTCTAATATCCTTTTTCTCTCTTTTTTAGGCATAGGGAAATGATACCTTGTAGAACAGATGGCTCCAAATCGAGTTTGGAAATATCATTTCTATGTCCTTTTATATGTTTCATTTGTTTGTTTATGTGGTTTCGGTATGTTATGGGGATAGCATTAATATGCATATCTACTTTGTGATTTCAATATTCGCTTACCTTATTTCTCATTCTCAGCTATGTCTCCTCTGAGAGACTGAGCGAAGAACGATGAACAAATGCAAAATATTGCTGAACCCTGTTAGTTCCTCACATAGGAGCCATCCTTGCTGTTAAATTATGGGAGGAGGTGGGTGTGTACAAGGCGCAAGACATCCTCATTAGAAAACAGGATGGCCAAAATATAAGCAGCATTGCGTAGGTTTTTTATTTTCCTTTTCCGGGTTTTGAATTTCTCCTTCCAAATTAAAACAAGTGACGGGAAAACTGCTATCACAGAATCAAGATCCGTTTTTCCTTTTTAGCAGTATTGAAAATTGATTGGTTCAGTTAACTAGGACTCAATCTTTATTGCTTGATGAACATTTTTTTTTTCATATTATTTTTGGTTGCGTGCGAGAATCTCTCTTTAAAATAATCTTATTATAATCAGATATGGAATGGTTAAAATGTAAATCTATCTGTAAACTGTTTTGTGAGATGCAATTGGAAGCTTCAAATGTAAAAAAATGCAACTGAAACCCCCTTGCCTTTTGGAGGAGGGTTAATTTTTTTTGGCTTTATTTCCCTCTACTTTTTAAATTTCATCATTCAAATTATTTTATTAAATGATTTTTTTTAATGGTGAAATTAATGAATGGTGGGGATTGAGAAATGGAGGAGAAAAAAATGGTAAGATTCCCTACCCCTACCTTCAAATGCATTTTTTTACTGTTACTGTGCTTTGTTGGCATGCATTCTAGGACTAAATGATGCTGGTTGTCATCCATGTGGCATTCTCTTCTTTTATTAAAACACATTCATAGCAAAATAAATAAGTTTTCTGCAAAGGTGAAAAGATGAAGGATGCTCAACCTTGTCCGGCAGATCTGGAATGAAAATGGAGGGAGAGGTGGGACGAACGCGATGCCAAATTTGAGATGAGAGTTTGAGGCGAAGTTTGTTTGGGGTTTGAGATTCGAAATTTGAACACGAAGAGAGAAGCTGTGGTGCTTGCGGAGGCTTCGATGGTTGCTGGAAATTTGCAGATCTTGAGGATGAAGAGAATGCTGCCGCTTCCAGATTCAGGGGTCATCGAGCTTTCAGATTCAAGGGTAATCAGCTCTTGAAGGAGATCAAAGCTCTGGATGATGGCTTTGGGATCATCGAACCTTCTTCTCCGCCTCGCTACCCATGGCCTTCTGTGTGTGTGCGCGCGCGCGCGCGCACCTCATGGCTCTCTGCTTCTGCAATCCCACTTTTGTTGAATATGTCGGAAACAGTATCGTTTGATTCATTTGGTTGGGTCAGTTCTATACATGAGTGCTTGAGTATTTCACTCTCAATGTGACTCCGGGTCTAAAATTCATCCGCCTTCACTTCCACCTATCTTATTTGAGTCTTGATGTCTCCAAAGCTTTTGTATTAGTCACTGCTGGTAATTTCACTCTTTTGTATAACTCAAGTGTTTCACTCACTACTAATTACATCAACAAAGCATATCTGGATGAAAGAATTTATCATCCATTTGAGTGGAAGAACCGTAGAGCTGACTTTTACTCCCTTATCCAATGCTTCTAATGTCTATGTATTCGTGAACTTGAATTGAAGTTGTTTCCATGCCTTCTACCAATCTCTATATTCAGAATTGAGAGAGAGAGAGAGAGAGAGAGAGAGACGAGGAAGAGAAGTTGACTGGATACGTTTCTCCTCCTCCTCCTCCTCTTTGATTTTTAATGATTAAAACATGGCATTTGACTTGCCAAATTGAGGCGGATGACACGTAGAAATATAATCTAGGCTCAGTGTAGTCAACAAACAACTAAACGTTTGATTTTGTTAAAATTTTGGAACATTGCAATCCTTTCAAAAGTATAGAGGGACAATATATGTTTTTAAAATTTTAGTATACTAATTGGATCTTGTGAAAAAGTTTAAAGATGAATTTGCATTAATTTAATGTCAAATGAAAACAATTTTTCTAGCGGCGATTCTAACCCCTTCCTCTTCTTTTATTATTCGAATTCATATGTACATTTTAATACATCCTAAATGCCAAACTAGGTTCATCATACATTATACTAATGAAATAATTGGTTAAAAAATCCATAAATTAAATGTACGGACAGGAATTTTAAAACAAAAAAGAGTAGTCAACAAACAATCAAATGTTTGATTTTGTTAAAATTAGGGAACATTGCAGTCCTTTTAAAAGTATAGAGGGACAATGTAGGTTTTTAAAATTTTAATATACTAATTGTATATTGCGAAAAAGTTTAGAGATGAATTTGCATTAACCTAATATTAAATGAAAACAATTATTCTAGTGGAGATTCTAACCCCTTCCTCTTCTTTTATTATTCGAAGTCATATGTATATTTTAATACATCCTAAATGCCAAACTAGGTTCATCATACATTCATACTAATGAAATAATTGGTTAAAAATCCATAAATTAAATGTACGGACAGAATTTTAAAACAAAAAAGAGTAATGGTTTGGCTACAATAATTATGATGTTTATATGTATTAACGTTAATATCAGCATAATATTTTAAAAATATGAGATATTTGAGAGTAAGATAAGATTAAGATGATGTTATCTATGGCTTTTGTCATTAGATCCATCGAGTAAAATGAATAAATATTTAATCTTCTTGATTGAAACCGCAATACGCATAATGTTATTAATAAAGATACTATTGCTTGTATAAATTTTTGTTTAATATATTAACATCAATATGGAAAAATAAAATTTTTGGAAACATTGCATTACATTACACTATTATGTGTTTTTCAATTATACCATTCATTCAAAATGGAGTTGTTAGATCTTGGAGTAGTGTTTCACCTGTTTAATTATCCGTCTAGTTTATAAGCATACGCTTTTTTTTTTTTTTAAATAACCTTTATAAACATCTATCGACGTGTAAACCGTATCGAGTTCTTCGTTTTGTTATTTATTTTGAAGGGGGGTTCCAAACTTGCGCGATTCACTATTAGCCGGCAATGTCTAGTCTTGTGGCCAACTTTGGGAGAAGAACAAAATAATGCGAATTGAAAGCCCACTGGCACTGTAATAATAAAAGAAAATCGAGAGGGAAGTGCGCTGCGAGCCGGCAACCCTTAACCCCTAAAACCCAAAGCTTTGTTCAGCAGCGATGACTCCCAAAAACAGCGCATAGACTCCGACGCTTCTTCCTTCATCACTCCATGTTTCCTCTTTAGGGGCCACAATGAAAGCCTTAAGATCACTGAGAATACTCAGGACTCTCTCTTCCACCCCGCACAACAATCTCTGTCCCCTTGAGCGTTCCTTTCTGCGCAGGTTTTACTCTGCTGAACCAGAGCAAGAGGAAGTGACGCAGCCGACAACCTACCAGGGGTCGGAAAATGATTCAGATTCAGTTTTTGATAGTTCTCATTACGAGGTTCCTAATATTTCAGACACCAGTGCTCGCGCCCATCGGCAACAACAACCCATCTGGGACCGAAAGTACAGGGCCAGAGCTGATGAAATGATCTTTGGAAAGGAAATCCCTCAAGGCAATTTGAGATTCAGAGAAGAGGAGGAGGAGGAGGAGGAGGAGGAGAACAGGCGGAGAGTGTTGGCCAAGGCTTTGCTTGAGGCGTCACTGGAGAAAGGGGATAGCGAGGATGAGGATGAACATGTGGCGAAGGAGGAGGACCAGAAATCACTGGCCGTTGGAATAATCGGTGCTCCCAATGCTGGGAAGTCTGCACTGACTAATTATATGGTTGGTTCTCTTTGCTTCTTTGTCCCGACGTGACAAAGTCCTTTTCTTGAGGTGTCTGACTGACAATGGTTCCATTTTCTTCCTTTGTATCTTCAATCCTATTTTAGTTTCAATGCCTTTTCTTCTGTAAAATTTCACTGCTGAAGATTGATTTGTGTTAATTTGGGGAAAAAATCCTGGACTCTGGAACAGTTAATTGATGATTACAAGTGTCATTTTTTCCACGATAATGTTCCTCCTTGCCGTCTTAATTTATATGAAAAACTTCTGCTTTTAATGTCTTGATACATTTATTGGAGATGGTTTTCCGTATCCGATTATTGTTATAGTATGTCTTCTCTTAGAAGTTCGTCTTAACTGGTATGGAGGAGGTGAAACGTGGAACGAGCCTTCTTGTTCAATGTCAATCAATTAATTAATTCTATATATTTTCAGCCAGCTGTTTTGTACCGTCAAAACGCTTAGATATCTCCATCCGTGGTTTAAACTTTGCTTCCTCTTGCCATTGTGCAATGCTTGAATTATTTAATAAGATTGAAGGCATGAGTAAGTATTCCTTTGCAGTTTTGGTGATATGATTTTAATTTAATCATGCTCCGTCTAACTCCTATTTGGAAATATGTTACATAACTAAGTTTGTTAAAAAGCTGCTGTTTTTTGTTTTTCTTCCGGACAAGTTAGCCTTTACAGTTGATTGCGGTGTATGATTCATTTGCTGACTTTAAAGTATTATATTAAATTGAAGTAATTGATATATGGCAGGGTGCATTCAGAATAGCCTTTAGCATCTTTTGTTGTTATCAACATCAAATGACTTTTTTCATAGTTATATCCTCACTCTTTTGCTATAGGCTGGTACAAAGGTAGCAGCTGTTTCACGGAAGACAAACACCACAACTCATGAAGTGGTAGGAGTGATGACGAAAGGAGACACCCAAATTGTGAGTCACTTTGTCATTACTTTTCTTCTATCGTAGAAAAGCAGAATGACTGTTGAAGTTTCAATTAGGCTGTATTGCATTGGTAGCATCGACTTCTTGAAAAAAATTAATTTATGCTATAATTCTGATGATGAGTAATACCTAAATGCTTCATGAAATTGGGATATTATTCTCTGGATGATATAATTCTTAATGCTTCAGGATGTTGAAATCAATCCAATATTTGCTGGATGCTAGTAAATCAATCAATCAGAAAATGCCTCCCCCCAATTATAATAAACTAGCTTGGGAACCTTCGACATGTTCTTTCAAATGCGAGCTCAGTACATGAGCTTATAATTCAATGTTGGGTTCTGTGATGAGTTAATGAGTGGAAGAGGCGGTCTAGAGGTTATATATTATAGATGAACCTTTTGCGGCAAGTGTGTCAAATTATATACATATCAATTAAAAAAGAAAGTAAAACTTGAACTCCAGCTATTGCTTTCCCACCTTAACTTTCCCATTCTTCAAGTTGTGTTCAACATGCTACTTGTACGGTTTGTGTTTTCTCACTTTTTGTGATGTCATCCAGCATGCAAGAGCTTGAAATTTTTATCCATGACTATGCTATTTTATTTTTCTGTTTTTAGGTTTTTTTTTTGGCTCAGGTAAAGTTTATATCTGGTATGTATTTAATTATTTTTTAAATTGAAATTGTACTACCCATGCTTACAACCGTATAAAAATCTCTATGCAGTGTTTTTTTGACACACCAGGGCTTACGTTAACTTCCAAAGGATATCCTCATCACGATCTCAAGAGCCGTGTTGAAAGTGCTTGGAGTTCGGTCAATCTCTATGAAGTGCTTCTTGTTGTTTTCGATGTCCATAGACATCTTACCAGGTTAATATATTATTCTTTCTAAGTGGGCACTGTGGGAGTAATCTTACTCTTTAATTCAATGTTACTTATTTACTCTTTCCGTTCAAAAATTCAAAGCATTTTTTAAGGAGTTGAATGTTAAACAATGTAAGGCATTTTTAGTATTTTAATGTATAATCATTATGTTTTTTTTTTCAAAAGCATCCCTAATAAATAAATCATTTTATATTTATTTTAAAGTGAAATACTCTATTAAATAAGGGTAAATATGGAAAGATAGTATTAGTTTAAAGACAATTAGTTATTTTATTAGGGGATGAGATTTGATTAAAAATACTTTACATTTTTTAACTGGGGGAGTATTATTCTATGTTAGAATTTGAAAACCTATTCTTTTGTTTACCTGATCAAATATGACTGGCTAGAGATGAAGATTAAACTGGGAGGTTTAATGTTGATGACTTTGTGTATCAAGGAAGTCTCGTGGATTTATAATTTCTAAATATAGCCAGTACTATGACATGTTGGCATGCTAATAGACCATATTTTACTTCTTGCGTGGATAATTTGCTTATGTATCTTCTGGACCCTGGAAAACTTATGAAGATAGTTACTTTGGTAAATTAAATATGATGTAAAGACAATCTTATATATTATAATCATGTTGCACTGCTCATATCTTAACCAGGTGATAAATCATTGTAACTTGCATTTTTTTTTTAATCATTTTCCTCTCAGTCACTTATGTCTTCTTAACATTCAATCAATATAGACCTGATGCAAGAGTCATACAATTAATTAAGCGTATGGGAGCTCGAGTCCATCCCAATCAGAAGCGAGTTTTATGTATGAACAAGATTGATTTAGTAAAGAAAAAGAAAGACTTGATGAAGGTTTCAGAAGAATTCAAACATCTCCCTGGATATGAAAGGTATGGTTTCCTTCTAAAGAGACTGGACAAAGTGCCAATTTGCTGTATAAATTTTAACCTTTCCGTGGATCAAATATAGGGCCTAAACCTGATGATCTCCTGTTATTATTATGCAGGTTTTTCATGATATCAGGACTGAAGGGGTATGGGCTAAAAGATCTGTCACAGTACTTGATGGAGCAGGCATGTATATTTTCTAGTTATGCTCTCTGTATCCATCCTATCCAAATGATCTTCTTGTTCCTCTGACCTGGAATGTGTTATTGGGTTCCTTAAAACATTGGTCCTAAACAACAATGTGCTTTTTAAACAAATATTGTTTTTGTCAAGTTTAAGAGTTTGAGCCACTTTTGCGTTCATTGAGTAACAAAACAGTCTATAATATATGGTGTGTGCCTATTTGTACTTGGTGCAGAAACAGAATGAGTGTCATCGCTCTTGCTCATTGCTGCACTTTGATAATGCATGAACGTAGATAAGATTGCTTCTCTATTGCTTATATTATGAATTTGGTATTTGAAGCTGATTACTATGAATAAGAACTTGAATGAGGCATTGTATGTGATCTGACACAAATTTCACACCCAACAAAATATTTTGTGTACAATTGTATATATGAATTAGCACGTCTACCAGGACTAGAAACATTTTATGTCTATTTTTGGGGTGATAGAAACATCTTATCAAATAGCAGAGGGAACCAAGATATCAATAGTTCTTATGTTGGCATATCAGTGTGCTTTGGAGTTGTTTTGGCAGCTACTTTTTGGATAAGGAAAAATGAGATTTTCCTGGCAATCTAGTAGCTCGAGGCCTTGCCTCCAGGCACAAAATGAGAGTAATTGGTGGAGAATTTGTTTTTCCTTTTAAAAAATAAGATAGAAGGCTTTACTGATGAAACTGCATCCTCTTAAAACTAGTAAACTAGATATATTTCTAATATTTCTTCAGAACTCTCATGTTAGACATTTCAAGACCTAAGTCTGGATTTTGAATTACTTCTAATGCTTAGGCAGTTCAACGACCATGGGAAGAAGATCCATTTATGATGAGTGAAGAAGTTATGAAGATGATAGCCATGGAAGTTGTGCGTGAAAGGTTGTTGGACCATGTACATCAGGTAGCAGTTAAAGTCAATCTCCAATTTATGGATAGAATCTGACAGAAATGTATGGTAGGATCAGATGATTAATTTATGATTCTGACGATGGATTACAACTTTCTCAATTCAGGAAATTCCGTATGAAATTGAACATCGGTTGATTGAGTGGAAGGAATTACGAGATGGTTCTCTTAGAGTTGAGCAACATTTCATCACAAGCAAATTAAGCCAACGCAAGATACTTGTGGGAAAGAATGGTTCCAAAATTGGGTATCTCCTTCTATTTTAAGTCTTTAGTTTTATATATGTAACTCATTGCTTTTTAAATTAGGTCCTCTGCTGTAGTGCTGTGTGTGAGAGAGAATGATACATACTCATACACGTGGGAGTGTACGGGCCATTTCATCTAATTTACACATTCTAATCTCTCTCTCTCTCTCTGGAAGTATGGCATATAATAAATTATTTTACAGATGATCCGGATTGGTTTGTTTTTGTTCAAAGATACAATTTTTTAAACAATTTTTTAGTTGTTAAAAGAAGATGAAATATCATGTTGTCATAACCAAATTAGATTGCTGTCGTATCAGTTTGGGAGTGTTATTCAGGGTTCAAATATTTGAATTCTTGTTATCTCAATGAGTGTATGAACTTGTGTGCAACCGTAAATATGTGTGTGTGGCGTGTTGATTGATCAAACAAGTTCTCCTCTTCATTTAATCCTTTACGGTATCAGAGCAGAACATTTCAATGAGTTTATGATTTGCGATGGTCAATTCTTGTTTATAGATACCTCAACCATTACATCCAATCACAGTTACCGTTGAAACATTTGAACCTAGGCTGAGCTGAAACTATAACAGGCCCAGACTGAAACCATAACCGTCAGAGTTGGTTATGATAAGTTGGATCTACTCCCAACACGCTTTCATGTAAACTTGGTCCCTAGCACTTTGTAAATTGAATTTACCCATGAATTCCTCTTCGTAGCTTCCGGAATACTAGCCGTTATTTCTGCATCCTTGATGTTAAAATGCAAACTTAGTTGATTGTTTGGGTTGGTTTGATGCAGGAGAATAGGAATGGAAGCTAATGAAGAGCTAAGGTCCATTTTCAAAAAGCAGGTGCATCTAATTCTGCAGGTTAGGCTTAGACAATGACAAAATGACAGAGTGGATTTGATTTTTAGAGTGCAGCTTCCCCGCCACGCCATGAAGTATACAAAAGTGCCAACGTGGGTCCGAATCAGCCCTAACGCCCATGCTTGATACAAGCGATCATAGAGAACATCACCATGGTAAGATATGGGCACCGCAAATGGTGATCATGCGGCCAAAACTTCCTACTTGTAGTAAGATTCATTTGGTTATAATTGGTAAGCGCGTATGAATGTTACAAATAGACGACCATAACTTGTTTTATCATTTTCGATTATAAATTTCACACATCTTATGTACAGCAATTTTGATGATGAATTCCATCTTCCTGTTTTCCATATGCTTTTCCCTTTGCCAGTCTAGTGGGAGCTTCAGGAGTTATTCCGCACGATACTGGTATCCTTATTCGACTCTCCCTGCACAACGCAACGATTCTCTGGAAATATAACGATGAATCTCGATGTCCTAATCACCGGCCCAAGCTTATCCAAACTTTTCATTAAAAAAAAAAAATTCCAATCACCAAAGATCAAAGGCATGTTTGACAATTTATCTTAAAAATAATTTTCCATTCTTCAAAACAAAACAAAAAATTCAAGTTGACAAGGTGTTCAGAAATTGTTTTAAGAAATAAGAAAAACTAAATATTATTTTAAAAATAGAAAAACGAAAATATCTTTCAAATCTTTGAAGGTATTGTCTTGAAAAATTAAAAAATATGCAAAAGATATCGGTCATTATTATTTTTGGTTCTCAGTCAAAACAATTAAACAAATAGAGTTTCCTCAATCTCAACCCTGGTGATCAATACCAATGTCCTGGATAAATAGTTGATGGCTTCTAAAAAATCAGAAAACAGTTGAACTTCCCTAAAGTGGTGACCTCTACATACTGCCAGGCCTGTCTTAATCGCGAGAATCACAGCTGCAGTAGAAGGGAAGGATCCCAGGTTATTTCTGGAGGCCATGATCCATTCGCCACCGTCATTTCTGATGACAAAGTGCACACTTTTTAACAAGGCTGCAGCACTATGGCTCTTCCACCTCAGTCGAACACTCCATGGCCTTTTGACAGTGCGCGGGAGTGTTCATGTCGCAATCTATTGCCATTCCTTGTCAACAATTGGATAACAGCCTGAGCCTGATCGTCTACTTCCACTTGTATCTGTCTAAAACCTCCCCTTCAGCCTCAGGCATGTCCAACTCTATCATGGATACCAGCTTCATAGCCTCACAAGATTTCAGAGTAAACTAACACCAATAAATATCAAAGTCATCGAGCTTTCCTTTTGCCATTGGAACCCCACCAGGAAATGAAAAGGATCACATCTTGTGTTGGGTTCTCTTTGTTAAGTTTCTTTTTCACTCTTACCAAGTACCTTTCCGCATGGACGACTGACTTTAGTTGGGTTTAGAAGGCGGTGAAGGCAAAACGTCATAACACTTGCGCGCCAAATTGAGGCAATCCAGCCAATGAAAGATTTCTGCATTGGGGTCCCTCTCGATCACAACATCGGACACCGTAATCTGCAACGCGCCTCTGAAGCTGGTGATCTGGCCTCGCACTCTAGCTACCTTCCCCAGCTGGACGAGATCGGCGAAGGCAGCCGCGGCCGCAGCAATCAGGGCAGCATCGGAAGGAGAGGAGAAGTGGTTGAGCCAGAGGATGCAGTTGACGCAGCCGGTGCCGTCGTCGAGGGTGAACTTGAGAAATCTGTGGGGTTTGAGTTCACGGGAGGTGACGGTGCCAACGGCTTCGGTGCGAGAGAGGGGGATGCCTCTGCGAGAGAAAGAGAGAGAAGAGTTAGAAGAAGAAGGGGTTTGGGCGAGGGAAAGAAGATCGAAGGCGAGTAGCTTCACATGAGAGTTGAACAATGGACCATGCTGCTGCATTGCACCCTAAACCCTAATTCACAGATGCAGATAGATCGGATTCCTCCAACTCCAATCCACCGCAAGCAGCCCTCTTCGGACGCCCTTTCAGCGTAATTTTTTATCCTAAATATAAAATATTTTATATTTTTTAATGTAATTGTTATTTTTTTTTCAAGTGTTTTGAATGATTTTATATTAAAAATAAATATAAAAAATAAGGTTTGTTTAAAAATAAATAATTAATTTATTGGGAAGTGAAATTTAATTAAATATATTTTATATTTTTTAATGGAGGAAGTAATAATTATTTTTTTACTTTTTTACTTTTTAATTAATTTAAAAATATTAAATATAATTATATTATTATATAAGATTGAGGATGAAAAATAAAAGTACGTAATTTTTTATAATATAAAATATAACTTTCTTAAAATTACATAAAATAATTAAAAATATTTTATAATAAAAATAAAAAAATATTCTAAATGCTTGTATTTTCCTTTCCATTTTCAATAAAAACTTATTTTTTTTATTAACAAAATAATTTAATAGCATTCCCCCATCAATTAAGTGATTGTTTTACTTTTCTTTAAACATATATTTTTTTATGAAAATTTTTTATAAATGATAATCCGTTCAATAATAAATAATTGTTGCAAGAATTTTTTAAATCAAATATTATTATGTAATTACTTAAAATTTTCATAAAATAAAATAATAAAAATACGGGGAGAGGTAAATAATGCTGTCTAAAAAACTGCTAGAAAATCTCTATTAAAAAAAAAACTGCTAGAAAATTTCTATTTGAAAAGGAAACTGTTTTCAAGAATCAAAGTGATCAGCTGCATTAAAATAATCAGAAAATATTGCGTGAATGGACTAGAGGGCCTGTGTGAACGAACAATTCACCCTCTCTCTTTCTCTGTCTCTCCTATTTCGCACTCTGAACTTGTGAAGTCTAAAACATGGCTATCGTAAAGCCATCTTCCTTCTCCTTACTATACTTCTTGTCTCTTCTCTACATCCTCTCTGTCTTCCTCAACTACCTGTGTTGTTGCTCCTTCGTTGTTCTAGCCAGCTCGCATTTCGAAAGCTTCAAAGCCGATGACGAAGTTGGCTCCGACGACCAACCCATCAATCCCTCTTCTCTCCGATCACCACCCTTCACGCAATCTCACACCACCAATCTTGTATGGCAGTGAGATTAGTGGCACATAAGGTATCTGACTTTTAGTTCAGCAAGCTGGCGCTGAAGCCACTTCCTCTATCAGCGACCGTCATCGATGCCTCGGCTGCTCTCAAGACCTCCTGACGACAACTTCATCAGCGTCTGGAACTGCAGCGATCACTCCGTCGCTGATAGAATCAGCTTCACTGGGAATTAAATTTAGATTATTACCTATCTTTGAAATTAAATTTAGATTTAGAAAGGAATTTCTTGTTTGTTAAATTTATATTATTACCCATCTTGATTTTCATTTTCATTTTCCTTTACAGTGTGTGAGGGAAGAATTCATTTAGTGTTATGGGATCTCTTATTACAATGAAATTTTGACTTGCACGTTTTCTTCCTGGGGCTTGAATTACTAGCATAAAGATGATTTGTTTCATTGTCATCACATTGGACCTATCATGGTTTTCTGGGAAGGCTATGTGAGTGACGAAGTGATGGGCACGTTTGCCCCTATCAAGCATTTGATTCGCCATTTTTACTTTCGAACAAGATTCTCCTTGTAAACAACATCTTTGAGAGGCCTCCTTCGTTTTTGGGTATGGTTTTTTCCCTCACTATCTTGTTTGTTTGTGTAATGTTAGCTCATCTTCTTTGCTCGAGTAAATTGTATCATTTCATAATCTTCGACGGCTTGTCCTGTTTTATTACTCTTACTTGGGGAAAAAAATTTCTTTAGATCCATGTTGAATTTTCTAGATCTTGTATTCCTATTTGCTTTTTAGTCAATGTTCTGGGACTATTTCTCTTTCAATACCCTCAATCAAGCACCCCATTATTCGTCTATAAAATGACTTCTTGGCATATAGAAGATTATGCCACTAATATGGCAAATCTTTTCGTTCCCATCGATTACTCACCCAACCAAGCGTCTAAAATTTGCTTTCCGATTAGAAAATGCAGCAAAGTTCTTTGGGAAATAAATTTCAATATTTATAGCCTTTCTGGGTTCATATAAATCAAGCAACTAGTCTTTCTATGCTCAACTAGTTCTTTTTAAGAAGATTAATTAATAATTACTTAGGTTTAATTTATTAGTTTTGAAAATGTATTGCAATGAAGGGTGTTTTACTCTAACAGCTTGTTCAAGCAACCGTGGCACTATTATTGGTTAGTCATTTGATAATTGAGCTCGGGGGGAGGACACACATGGGGCAGGTAACACAGCTGGTGGTAATTTGGAGGATCAGCGTGAGGACAATATTGATGCTCAGATTTTACAAGTCACCTATATTGTTCAAACGGAGAATTTGGAGGATCATATCTTGCCTGTTGTTGTCAATGATAGTGCTGGTGATTTGGATGCAAAGGAAAACATTACTAGCTTATGAATAGGTGTTTGTTATAAGTTTGTGTAATGGATAGGTATTATTAGCTTATGTTCTTGTGTTTGCCTTTTTGGGAACATTTGTAGTTAACTTCTCAATATCATTGTTATCATTTTCAGGATATATTCATCAATAATTGCAAGGTATACATAAAAAAAAATGGAGCAATTTCCTGAAAGAGATCAAAATAACAAACATATGACTTTTACATGAAAAATATATATTTACATGTAAACAACACATATTAAACTAAAAAACATTTGACTCTCACGTGTAGGCTTATAGTGCAAGGTTATGGGTTTGGGGTGCAAGGAAATAAACTTATGGTGCAAGGGGATAAGCTTGGGATACAATGGTATAGGGTTTGAGTGCAAAATGCAAGGGGATACATTTACAATGCAAGGGTATAGAATGAGGGTGCAAGGGCATAAGGGGATAGACTTACAATGCAAGGGTATAGGTCTTAGATGCAAAGTGCAAAGGTATAGGTTTTGCGTGTAAAGGTTAGGCACTGACATTTTTGTTTGCCTTGTTTCTTGAGTTTTCATGTTATTCTTCATAGTTATCATGAAATCTAAAGGTACAATCATTTGCATGCCCTCTATTTGTTAAAATTACATGTAATTATTTATAATTATCATTGAAGGATGGACCAGTTAATGTAACCTATCATCTTGATGTTAGTTTTTTTAGTTATCATGAAACCTAGATGTTTTTGTCATTTATGTGCCCTCTGTTTATTAAAATTACATGTAATTATTTATAATTTTTAAATAATTGTTTGTAATTGCACGTAACATTTGATAGTTATAATGAAAGATTGGGAACACAATAAGTTCCCCCTTGTTTATGTATTTTTCACGTATACCAAGCCAAATTTACTTATAAATGTTGCTCATTCAATAGTTTTGTTGTATCTCTGAGTTCCTCCAATTTCTTAACTGGATTCCATTGTCAAGAATAGTTGAGAGCTTTTATAGGCAAATAATACTAAGCTCAAAGGATCATCATAATTAATCTCAGATTCTAAAATCTAGATATTAACGGCTTCAAATGTCCAGCTAAAGATTGTCAAGTGACAATCAAATATGGCGTTTTTCATTATCCTCACTCACTCTGGACCATCCAATTTCACAAAACTGAGGAAGAAAGATTTATCTACTGAAGATGTTATCATCTCACTCTAAAAACTTAATACAATTTAGAGTAAAAAAGCATCCATTGAATTTTTCACATTTCACTTATAGTGAAGTTCATTATTCATCTGAACCACTGCGCAACAATGATCTTTCTAATTATCATAAGACTCAACTTATACATGCAACTTGAATGATACTATAATATCACAACATGCCATATAACCGCATATTCCACTGGCAACCTTCCACTACAATTTCATCAAAAGCTTCAAGCTCATCACAGTGATTCCATGAAATGGAATTCTCAAGTGCACTGAATGATTTGCTACTTATATTAGACATGGATCAAGTAATCATAATATATTTTTCATTAGGAAAACTATACAGAATACAAAAACGAACATAAAACAATTACATCAGAATTCTTAAGGTGTTGTAAATCCTAACAGTGTGATCAACTATGGCTCTAAGTTGAGATAAAATGCTATCTATTGTAAATGTGTCATTAGTAAATATGCTTCAGTTTCTAGCATCCCATAATTTCCGGCAAAAGATGCTAACACCAATCTTCCAAGAATAATCTATGTGAGGGTTCTTTAAAATATCAGCCAGCCAGGTATCCAGACTTTTGCCATAAAAATCAATTTGCATATCAATTGGTAAGATTCTTCTCCATACTACAGCAGCGAGCGTACAATCTTTAAAAACATAATTTATGCTCTCTTGAGACTCGTCGCAAAGTGAGCATCGTTGGTCCATCGTATTAATCAGGAGCTTCCCTGTAATCATAATATATTAGTAACACAATGAAACAACAAATCGATTAAAAGTATGAAACAACACCCAACATGTGAAACAAATAAAGGGGTTCACGAGAAACAAGGACTAACACAGTCAAAACCAAGGACTCAATCAAAAAGCTAGAAACTCTAAACATTTGCAGTAAATGTAAGCTACAAGAAACCAATAAGTGGTTTATAAACAAATAAGAACCAATCCAGCGACAAGATTGAGCATGGCAACATCCCTAACACAAACTATCACATGCAGTAACATAGCCCACGCCAATTGAGTGACACCCATCTACTAACAGCTTTAAAAACCAAGAATAACACAAACATGCCTAGGAGTTGCAAAGTGTAACACCCTCAAAATTACAGACCGATTTTTCGCAAATTATTAAAACCATTATCATGGTAGAAAATTTTCTTACCATGATACATCCAAGACAATATACCACAGGTCTTAAAATATCTCAAAAAGCAATTAGAACCATGAGGGACAGACAGGATCCTCATAGCATGTTATTCAAATCAGGTCATGAATCAAGAGGGACAGACATAATCCTCTTGGTCATATAAATACTTTTAATAAAAAGGATTAGAGTTTACATGCTTCACAAAGAAGATATGTCCTAAGTTGGCACAAGATACATTGTATAATCTAAAATAAGAGGCAACGTAAAAGATGGTGTCTCATACACCACAGTTACACCTCTGGTGCTTTCTCGGCCAGACTCGCTCCTGTAAAAATATTAACCACGGGGAATGAGACTTAAAAGTCCCAGTAACCAAAAATTAATATGTAATGATGCATGCGATTGTAACTAATCATGCGATTGCTAAGTGGGCACACAAAACATTTAACCGAACAATATTTTCAAACAAACCGAACAAGTATTTAATTTGCATGACTGCACCTTATATCCTCCTTTCGCCATGCTCGGACGCCAAATCACCCGGCCAAAGGTGAGTTGGACCAAGCGACACGCCACTCATTGGGTCCAATGAGGGCTTAACACGTGGTAATAATTAACCGAACAGAAATTCCCATTAACACCATACATTAAAATACCCTGACAAGTCATGCATCATTCAAATATCCAAACAGGAATATATCCGAACAATAATATCTCATCATGATGAACAAAAATAAATTTTTAACCCACTTGGCAATAATTTCAAACAAGTATATACAGTATTTATTTTCAATAATTCATAATTTTTCCAAACAACAAAACAACACATAACCATTCACAAACACACCCATCACAACACATTAATAATGGTTACCTTGTGTCTTGAATAACAAGTTCCCCTTCACAACTCCTTTTTCACCACTATCTTTGTCAATATAATCTACATAATTATTTCACAATACTATATATTAATTTTACATTAAAATAAATAACTCTAATTTAAAGAGTTAGAAAGTCTTAAATCTATAGTCCATATTAACACTAATTTAAGATTTATGCCTCATTTAACTTCCCAAATTCTTTTCTAAAATTCTCGTACCCTAATGAACTATTTTTTTTTATCCTCAATTCACTTCTAGTATCACAATTTCATCCTTCTACATTCTAAAAATTCATCCAAAAATAAATTAAAAATTTTAGAATTATCCTGAAGCCTCAAATCACCTTTCTATAACCTCAAAAATACCTATTCATACTTAAATAAATATTTAATAATCATAGGTTTATCCCTACGTCTCAGATTCCACATAAATTCAACCATATAGATCTAGATTTTAACTCAAAAATTCTTAAACATGAGTTTCAACCTCAAGAAAATATTCTATAATATTTATTATATCCCTAAGAATTTTAACCTATATTTTTAATCCATCATATCATCAGATTAACTATCCTATAGAAAAATCTTAATCAAAATATTTACTCTATCCTACAAAATAATCATATCACTAGAAAGCTAATATTATTTAGAAAATAACTATAAAATTAATTTTGTAATTAAATACATTTTTAAATGCTAATCTAAACAGGAAAGTTAGAACATACCTGAAGGAAAAGAAAATAATCCCCCCTTGTGAGAAAACGTCGAGCAACATGAGAGGAAGAGAGAAAAATAATATAAAAATGGGATTGTGAGTCCCAAAATTATATTAAAAAAAACTATAGGTTTGAATTTAATTATTCAAACCTTTGGGCCAAAAGTTGCAATTTTCTCTAAATTGCATCTTAGCCTCTCATGCTTCCTAATGCACACACCCCCTTCTTTTTATACATGAAGGCACCTCTTCTCTTCTCTCATCTAACCAATGTGGGACTTAAAAACAACAACCTTCCACCCCCTTTTTTTTGTTCCTTCTACCTTCTCTCTTTTTTTTTTTTAACACATACATACAAAAAATTATTTATGTATTATATCTTAACTAAATATTGCTTATGTGGTTTTAAATTTAAATTTTTAAATTCATAATTAAATACCTAACCATAATATTATTTCTAAATAAACTCAAATAATATAAATTCCTATTATTATCATTTTTTTTTCTCAAAACCTAAATTCCACAATTTCTTTATTATATAAAAAATCAGGATGTTACACAAAGTAGCAAGCCTAAACTCAAATTAATAGCCTCAGCAATAGGGAAATGTGACAAAAATTCATCATTTTAAGCAGCAGCAACATATCAAAATTATAATGTAAAATTCAAAGTGCAAACTCATCAGGAGAATCTAAAATTCATGAAAATGAACTGAACTAAAAATAATAAGAGCAGTGACAATCCAGCAAAATCCCAAAGTCATCAACCTCGCACCAAAAACAGTAATAATATGGAATTTACACGTTGTGCCTAGCTGACAGAGCAGAATGAACCACAAAAGAGAAAACCCCACAGAAATTAACCAAAAACCGAACCGGGGGGTGAAGAGAACGAAGCATAACCAAGTCGGTAATAAAGAACCTCAACGACGAGCGGAGGTTAGTGATGAGGAAGAGACGCCAAATTGGCAGAGAATCACGATCAGTGGTAGTCAAAGGGAGAATGGAGCGAAATGGACGAGGGGCAAGACACGATGAGAATGAACAGTGAGCAAGCACGGTGAAATCGAAGAGAATGCAAGCCATGGGGGTGTAGATAAGAGACAAGAAGTATAGTAAGGAGGAGGAAGATGGCTTTACCATAGCCATGTTTCAAACTTCACCAGTTCAGAGTGCGAAAGAGGAGAGGGAGAGAGAGAGTGTGTGTGAAGTGTTTGTTCAAAGGGACGTTTTGGTCCATTCATGCAATCCTTTAATGCACTTGATTCTTCAATTTATTTTGATCCTTGAGAATAATTTTCCTTTTAAGAAGGAATTTTTTAACAATTTTCTCTATTATTTATGTATTTCATAAAATTATAAAATGTACATTATTTATATTTATAATTTACAAATAATATAACTTATTATACATCTCATTGTATATCGAAACGTGGTTAACAATACAATGGGCTTCATCCAAAAAACTTAAAAAGTTACAAATGGCCACAACTTGAAAGATTTTATGGGCTTTGTTGGGCCTGTCCAGTCTCTTTAGCCTTTCCTTTTTCGGTGAAATTTCTTTTGCCTTTTTAAATGGCTATATTTTGTGAGAAGCCCTGTTATTCATTTTTGTTCCTGACCCAAAAAAAAAAATCAATGGTTACTCTGGAGTTTAATTTTCTTACTCCATTTGTTTTATATCTTAAGGAATCTATTAAACCATAATAATTATTGTTGTTTCTTTAATTTAGATTAACCTGCGATCAATTCAGTATATTTTGTCAGATGAAATGCTTCTGTTGACTTTATAAAGCTTAACACAAATGACTACTTCGTGATTTGAGCGAAATAAAATAAACTTGTGAAAATATGTGCAAGCACATGATCTCTATATCTGGAATACATATGTTATTCATTAGGTTGAATCATCCCGCAAATCCAAGCGAATGGGAAACCGTCCCAGATTATTTTCTTCCTTTTTTTTTTCTCTTTTCTTTCTTTCTTTTTGTTTTTGTTTTTGTCAAAAAAAAAACTGTCACAAAGGTTTTTCTGTCAACCGCGGGCTCGATCAATTTCATTACTAGATGTGATGTGTTTAATCAGCCTCATAGGACACTATTTACCAGACTAGAATAATCTTCATAGGGATTGGCATGTTAATTCGAATTTCATATATTGGGAGGCAATTTTTTGAGCCCATCTACCAGACATTGAGGCCTTTAATGGCTTGGATTATTTTATTATATTTAATTAACCCCCACCTTCCTGTCTCTAAATGGTGGAGGATGATAGGAAGCTTTGGGATAGAAAGGACTAGTTTTGCAATCTTGTTTGATTTCAGCATATTTTTGTTAAAAAAGAAAAGTAATTGAAGAGACAATTCCCTCCTCTTCCTTTCCATCCTCTTTCATTCATTTCTCTAATTTCCAACTATTACTCTAATTTGTAACCATTAGATCAAGATTATTAGACAGTCCACATTTGTTCTCTTATAAAATATGTTGTTTTGTTCTGTTTTTACTATGATTTTTTAATTGTTAATATTAAATTTTGGCAGTTTGAATTTTATTATTTATATTTTTTTATAATCTAACATTTTAATATTAATTTTAGAAGAAATCAAATATAAACCCTTGTAAATCTTGATCCAATGGTTAGAAAGGTAGAAGAAGGGAAGAGAAATTAAAGATATATTTTTGGAACTGTCTCACCATCATTTGAACTTGGGGTTTCCATGGTTTAATTTAAAATCGTATCCCACACAAACATTGCCCAGTTTACAAATTCGTTACGTTTTTTAAAGTAACAAAAAAAGCGATTACAATGCCATTTGATGAAAACAAAAGTGGCATAGACTAAAAGAAAAATCATAGGAGGGCGGTCAGGGACGTGAGGCCTATGAGTTATTACAAAATGTCTGTCCTGTGCACAAACAATTTCACGTTAAATAAAAAACAGTTCGTTTTTATGGGTTCAGAGTTCAGACACATTGCTCATCATTTACGAATGATATGATGTGTTATAATTCTCACATGGTATATAAAATGAGACGCGCACGCGCAGATGGTTCCATTTTACTTGTGAAAGACTGTGTTTACTAGAAACCAGATCTTGAGGTTCAAACAAAACAACCCAGTGCTGTGATTTCAAATTTCCCTACAGGTTTTAAATTTAATTTATATGTAAATCTTGATATTGTTATCATCACATGTTCAATCGAGGCATAAAATTCATGTGACTGCTGAATAATAATAAGACAAGTAATCAGAATTGCTCTCAATAAACTCATCTCAATAAGACCAAATTAAACAAGCAGGCATTAGCAGATGAATGCATATTTAGAGAAAAGTGGAACTAGGAGGGTGGGAGCAATAATAATAAAGTCAATAATTCAAGCAGATCGGGTTTAAAGTATCATAACCCTTATGAAAAGTCTATATAATCAAGCCTGACCTTTAACACCTTCGGAATCCAAATTTATTCGAGCCAACTGAATACCTAAAACTTTTTAAAAATATTTTTTATTTATTTTTTAAATTAATTTTAATTTTAAATATTATTGTTAAGTATAAAATATTATTTTAACTTTAAAAGAATAAAATAAATAATAATAATTTATTAACTCTGTACTTAAGTAGTACTGTTACTGTTTGGTGTATTATATGTAATTTATTTATAAATCTTTCCTTTATTTGTAAATTAATGTTTTAATTGTTTAAATATTACTTTTATCATAGTTATGTATAAATATTTTATTTACTTTAATTATAATCCAATTAATCTCAATTCAATCATGATTATATTACTAACTTATCTCGATTACTTTAAAATTTTTAATAACTTTCGAGTAAACTATACTTTTTATTTTTAAGAACATAAGAAAAATAATTATTATTATATTATATAAAACAAAATTATTTAACTATGAGTAAAATATCATTTTTAATTATTTTTTTAATTTTTTATATTGTTTAACCCTTACGTACAAATACAAGTGATGTGTAGGACTCAAAATTTTTTTAAAAAAAATCTTAAACTATAAAATTTATTATTAAAATATATTTTAAATATTATTTTGAGATATTTTATTAATTAAAAATAATAAAAATATGAAAATATAAATATTTTAAATTTTTAAAAAATAACTATTGTAATGCACTAAAATATATAGTATTTTAATATGAAATGATATAAAACTTCAAAAAATTGATTAATATTTTATATATTTTTTTAAAAATTACTTTTTTATTTGGGTATTTATTTTCAAATTTGATTAGACTTGGGCCAAATTTTCTTGAACCTAATCGGATTCGGGCCAGCCCAAATAAGCCTAAACATTAAAAAAATTAATATTTTTTCATGATCAATCTTAAATTTTTTGGATAGGTTCAAACTAACCACACTTGACTTAAATTATTAATTTTAAATAATAATAATAATAATAACAACAACAACAATAATGAGACTGGGGTGGTCAATGATGCCATCAAAAGCACCCAACAGGCATTGTAAGTTGCTTCTGACTTCTCACATTTGTCTCTCAGATTTGATCCCACCCATTTTTGTTTTGGTCCCCTCCTTCTTTTGTGCTCTTGCCCCACCCCAAACAAAAATATTTAATCTTGAATTTTAGAATTTCGAATTATAAAACGGTTTAATTTTTTTAAATAATCAAATCTTATTAAAATATGTATAAAAAATCGAACGGCTGGAAAAACTACATTGAATCTAATTAGAATATGCAGAAAAAATTCTCAAAAAAAAAAAAAGGAAGCATGCACGGGCTATGGAATCCCAAACTATAAATAATTTACCTATAAATATTATATTATATATTTCCAAGTGCTATCTACAATCATGTCCATGTACACCAGTAGTAATAATAATAATTACAAAGTAGAGGAAAAGGTGAAAAGGGCCCCTCTTTTAGCTTTCCCCTCTTTTATATGTGGGTGTAGCAGTAGCTTGTTCTCTTCCACAATTTTTTAAAATTGATTCTGCATCATAGAGATTTTGACCGCATTAGTTTGTTCTATCCAGTATTTCAATCTTCAAAAAGAACAAAACTATTATTTGACATTTTCTTTTTATAAACCTCTCATCCCTTGTTTTATTAAGATAACGTTATTTAAAGCAGTGTTAACTTAAGTCGCAATTGTACATGAATCAAAAAATAAAAAGAACTATTTGCCTTTTTATTT